CGCAGGGCAGTGTAGGCAAGGGGCGGGGTAACTCGGTAACCGGCGAAAAACGGTTGGTGGGCCCTGAAAAACAGTCCTAAAACGGTCCTAAGGACCTATGTTGCTCTTAATACCATGTTGAGAGAAAAAAGATGTTTTCATTATCGAGAAAGTTGGGTACAAGTAACAAAACCTATACCCTATATTAGCTACCCGACTAAAGCCTACATTTTATTATGACACAGGTATATACTTTGACAAATACCCTGTTTGCCCTGATGGGCAGCCGCTTTTTCCTAGTTACCCATTTCAAAACAGGGTATCAAACTTTTTACCCTAGAGCAAACATGCTAAGTTTCGGTTTACACTGATAGCGATTTTGGTTACCCTGGCGGTATCATGGTACACTGTACATTACCCTGATAACGCGAAACATTGAGACGGCGCCGGGATTCGAAATTGCGTTCTTACAATACCTATCCTAACATCAACCAGCTGAGTCTCAAAGTTAGCGAACAACGGAATGTGTGAACTAGGGAAACAAGGGATACAAATAGCAACCCTAAAAGTGTTGTGCTCCCTAGAGTGCTACTCACTGTAGCCTAAGAACCTATAATAACATTTGACACACCCCCATAGGCTAAGTGAGGGGCATCAAAGCAAGCAGGGTGAACAAACGGCCACAAGACCAGTCAATGCAAGAAGCAAAGCAAGCTCAGGGTGGATCTCAAGGACACCACACAAATTCCGAGCACAAGCAAGCGGCCACAAGGCCAGTTCAAGAGTTCACTAGGATATATATAGCAAAGCACAACAAGCAGAGCAAACAGCAAGTCTACAGCAACCGAGGGCCTACCTCAACAAGCCCCAACTGCACACAGAACCTGTGGTGGTCACCAAGCGCCAGGGCCTTGGTGAAGACGTCTGCAGTGTTGGCCTCTGAGGCCACAAAGTCCAGGCGTGCCTGGCCGCGTCGCTGCAGCTCTCGCAGAAGGAAGTACCTCACGTCAATATGCTTCACTCTGCTCTCTAGTCGAGGCTCTCGACAGAGGAGGATCATGGCCTTGTTGTCCTCGTACAAGGTCGGTGCAGAGCGAGGCCGCTCACCAAGGTCGGTGAGCAAGAAGGTCAACCAGCGAAGCTCCTGTGCCGCCATGGCACCAGCGTAGATCTCTGCCTCTGCACTGGAAGTAGCCACAGACGACGACCGTGTAGACCTCCACGACACAGCACCAGCACCCAGACTGAAGCAGTAACCCACCGACGTTGACGACCTGGTCTTCGCCACTCCCGACCGACACGCACTGGCCTTCGTGAAGGAGGAACTACAGATGAGACACACTTGCACTGACCTTGGTGAACTGCAGCGCTACCTTGGCCTGCAGATCACCAGGGACAGGGCAGCTCGCACCATTACGCTGACGTAGTCGCAAGTGGTCGAGCAGATCCTCACGCGGTTCCGCTTCCCGTTCTCCAAGGTACAGCTCACCCCTCTTGCTGTGAATCATGGGCTCACGGCTCCACCTTCGGACGAGCCATTTGAGTCCAGCGGTCCATATCCTGAGTTTGTGGGTTGTCTCATGTACCTGATGACCTGCACTCGCCCAGACCTAGCTTACCCTCTTAGCGTCCTGACGCGCTTTGTTGCGCCTGGGAGACACCGACCTTCCCACTGGTACGCGGCTAAGAGGGTGGCGAAGTATGTGGCAAATACATCAGGCATGGGACTTATCCTTGGAGGGAAGCAGCCAGTTACACTTACAGGTTACTCTGACTCGTCGTAGGCCGACGACGCAGAGTCGCAAAGGTCTACACAGGGTTACTGCTTCAGTCTTGGGACCGGAGCTGTTTCGTGGAGGTCGGCTCGGGCGTCGTCAGTCTCCAGTTCCAGCTGTGAGGGAGATGTGTACGCTGCGGCCATGGCCGCCCAGGAGCTTTGCTAGCTGTCTTTCCTCCTCACCGACCTTGGTGAGCGGCCTCGCTCTCCCCCAGTCTTGTTCCCCGACAACAGGTCTGTTGTCCTGTTGTGCGAGGAGCCCCGACTGGTTGGGAAGGCGAAGCACATCCAGCTTCGTTACTTCCTTCTGCGAGAGTTGCAGCAGCGTGGCCAGGCACTCGTGCGACGTGTGGTCTTTGAGGCCAACACTGCAGATATCTTCACCAAGGCGTTGCCGCCGTGTGACCACCAGCGTTTCTGCACCCAGCTAGGCCTTGTGTCTACATGCCCTCACTTGCTTGAGTAGAGATGTTTTGCATTGTACTCTTGCATCTCTTTATATTTGCTATATATATCTGCTTGTGGACTGGCCTTGTGGCCCCTTGCTTCTGTAGAGATGCTTGTCTTGTACTATTGCATCTTCTATATTTGCTATATCCTTGCATGTGGACTGGCCTTGTGGGCCCTTGCTTGTTCTCGGACTGTGTGGTGATTTTGAGATCCACCCCGAGATTTGTTGTTTTTTTGTGAACTGGTCCTGTGACCCTTGCTGTGTGTTGCTTTCCACAGGACTACCGTCACCTAAACTATGGGGGTGTGTCAAGCTATATTTGTTATAGCTTATTTGTGTTAGTCTAGGTGTACTTCATGTTTTCATAGGGTTAGGGTTGCGCTTCCTATATATTACGTGTTTCTCGTTTTCCTTAGTCAATTGACTCTCACGTTACTACTTTAACAAACCCACAAGCTCTGGATACGGACCACTCAGCTCTACGGACTCGTCCGGAGATGGAGCTGAGAGCGAATGGCCTGTAGGCAGAGGAGTGGGCTGTGGAGAGGAGAACCAGAAGCCAAAGCGCTGGAGGACCTGATGCACCATGTATGACTGAGTCAGGGTGATGGTGCGACGTGCTCTGTCCCGGGTGATCTGCAAGCCAAGATAGCTCCGCAGCTCACCCAGGTCAATGCAGGTGTGTCTCTCCAGCAGCTCCGCCTTCACTAGGGACAGTGCCTCAGTGTCAGCAGTAGCAAAAACCAAGTCGTCGACGTACACGAGGACATAGAACGGCGGCAGAGAAGTGTCTGTGCGCAGAAACAGCGAAGGGTCAGCTGTCGAGGGAGCGCAACCAAGAGCCGCAATTGTAGTCCTCAGTGTGTCGTGCCACTCACGGGGCGCCTGACGCAGACCGTAGACTGGCCACCGGAGGCTCCACTAGGTACCCTCAAGAAACGACCCAGTGAAGCCACGAGGGTGGCGCAGCCATATCTCCTCGTGAAGGCTGCCCTGCAAGAAAGTTGTCGAGAAGTCGAGGGAGTGCAGCTCGTAGTCACACTGTGCTGCAACATGCAGTAACACCCGAAGAGTGGTCTCCTTTGGGGTGGGTGAGAAGGTCTGGAAGAAGTCGACCCCCTCACGCTGACAGAAACCTCGTGCAACGTAACACGCCTTGAAGGTAGGCGGAGAATCCGGTGGCCGCTTCACCCTGAAAATCCACATGCCATCGACTATGTTCGCCCTAGGTGGGGGAACTGCGTCGACATAGGTGCCTGTAGACTTCCAAGAAGCCATTTTTGCGTCCATGGCTATCTGCCACTGAGAAGAGTATGGACCCGTGATCGCGTCTGCGTAAGAGCGCGGAGGCGGGATGTCCAGTGCATCCGGGTCTCCCTCAGGGCAAAGTAGCATGGACGCGAGATGAGGTGCAGTAGCCGCTAGGCACTCCAGCTCAAACTGCTTGTCCTCAAAGACGTCACAGCCAAGGCAAGCTCACCCCTGACGGACGGAGGACAGTCAGAGTCAAAAACAAGACTCGCAGCGTAGTCAAGGCGGCACAGAGCAGCAAAGTCAACGAACTCAGCGACTAAGGCAGACGCAGCAGGAGACGAAAACGTAGGGTGAGTCACAGCCATGGCAAGAAGACGAGTGGCAGTCGGACTGACAGCACAAACAAGGTCAAACACAGGGTCAGGAACGTCAGGAAGAGAAGAGGCAGGAGGCGACGGCAGTACAACACTCTGTGGAACAGAGGAAGGACAAAGTTCCATGGTGTGCGTGCCTGGGACAGGTGGAGGACGAGGATGGGCAGCACGACGAGTACGAACAGGCGTGACAGGACGCGACGCAGGCTCTTGACTCTCAGTGAGGGACTTTGTCACCGCAGTGTAAGGAGCAGGAGCAGGCAGTGGGGAGTTTGGCAGTAACTGTAGCCGAGACTGGTCAGTCGGTGGGAACAGTAACGGAGGAGTAGTACCAGCAACAGGGAACTCAGTAACAGCAGGTGCGAGACTGAGAAGGTGGCGGAGCGCAGACGGCTGCTGCTGAGTAGTCGCACCCCCACAACCTCCAGCTCCAGGACAAGAACCTCCAGCACCAGCACATCCAGCAGCAGGAACTCCAGCTCCAGTAGTAACAGCACCCCCAGCACCGGCACCTCCAGCTCCACCACCGGGGCTGCCCCACCGGACAGCCCACTCGCGAAGATGCTGCGGCGAGAGCAACTCTTGCCTACTAGCACCAGGACCTCTAGCACCACCAACTCCAGTACCTCCAGCACCAGCACCTCCAGCACCTTCAACTCCAGTACCTCCAGTAGCACCTCTAGTGTCAGTACCTCCAGCACCTCCAACTCCAGTACCTCCAGTAGCACCTCCAGTGTCAACACCTCCAGCTCCAGCACCCCCAGGACCAGCACCTCCAGCTCCGCCACCGGGGCTGCCCCACCGGACAGCCCACGCACGAAAGTGCTGCGGCGAGAGTCTCTCTTGTCGACTCGGCTGTCACCGACGTCCACTCCCAGAGGCTCCAGCAGGAGTACCCACAACCCGACCACCAGTAGGACTCCCAGCACCCCCAGAACCATCACCCCCAAAGTCAGCACCCCCAGTGTCACCACCTCCTGCAGCACCAGAGTCCACAATGACTGGCTACAGAGGCGGCGAAGACGGTCGAGGCGGAAACCCAGGAGGGGTCTCCAAGCGAGGTGAGCAGCGAGTGGCCGCTGTGTCGTCAGCAGCTGTGTCACCCCCCTTAGTTGGGCCAGACGTGTCGGAGGAAATCTCCAACGGCGCAACCAAGGGGGGTGGGTCAACCTGGGACACACCTGAGGGAGCAGGACCCTGAAGGGGGGGGGGGGACTACCGGGGGGGGGTCGGGAACCAGGGAGAGAGGCGGGAAGGGTACCGGGGAAGTGCGGTGGGGGTGAAGAGGGTAGAAGCATACAAACTCGTCAAAAGTGACGTCACGGGAGGACAGCGCACGACGAGAGCCGGGGTGCTAAAACTGCCAGGGTGGTGCGTCGGTGGGAAAGCCAAGGAACATGCACCGAAGAGTGCGCGGAGAGAGCTTGCCCGCGGGAAGATCGCGGACAAGAGAGAGGGAACCCGAATCGCCGACACATCACCAACCTCTCCCGTCCACCGCAGAGTAGGGGAGGTCTCCGGGTGGGAGACACGGGGCCAGAGGTTGAGCTGGTGCACGGCGTATCGGACCGCAAACGGCCACAGAAAATGGGAAGCAGCCGCATGGATCATGGAGGTGCGAGCAACCTCCATGACCAAGCCAATGCGGCGCTCTGCAATCCCATTCTGCTGTGGAGAGGCCGGAAGCGTGAACGACTGGGTGATGCCCTCAGCACCACAGAAGTCCTCAAGGAGGTGGGAGGAAAACTCACCACATCGGTCAGAGTGCAGCCATAGGACCGGGAGGTCCTGCCAAACCGAGCGCTAAGCTGGAGACGGACAGCACGGATCCAGCGGATCAGGACACTACGGAAATCCGCCTTGCTCTGCAAGGCGAAGACCGTGGTGTAGCGCGTGTAGTCGTCAAAAACCAGCAGAAAGTAGCGCTCGCCGCCCTGTCCAGTGACGCGGGCGGGGCCCCACACGTCCATGTGGAGGGTCTGCAGAGGAGCAGTGGTCGGAGGAAACTCAGAGGAGTAAGGAGCAGCGCGCTGCCGTCCCTCGACGCAGGGAAGGCACGGCGGTGCAAGCGACCTCGGAAGTGGTGGCAGGGGCCTGGGGAGGCCAGAGACAAGGAGATGGGAGTGCATGTTGCGTAGACGCGGCTAGGAGGGGTGACCAAGACGGTGGTGCCAGAGCAGAGCCGGGTGCGTGAGGAGCCGACACGAACAAGCCGCAGCGAACTGACCCGACGCAGCTACCTGACCCGACGCAGCTACCTGACCCGACGCAGCTACCTGACTCGACAAAGCTACTTGACCAGACTCAGCCACCAGTGCAGACTCAGTGGTCAGTGTGTACAGTCCTGACCCAAGCCTCCGAGTGAACGTGGCGAGGTGCTCGCAAGTGCAGGAGTCCGTACTGATTGCCACTAGCTCTCCCCCAGGAGTGGTGGTAGTGTCCCACTCGTCCTGGAGGACAGCCGTAACCACCAAGTTCTTAGCGAATGAGGGGAGGTGGAGAATTGTGAGGAGGCCGGAGGGGGCTGCCGGACACGGGAGAACAGTGGAGCCATGTGCCACTACAAGGCCACAGGAGGGGTCGGTCAGTGTGACAGGGACAGGGGTTGTGAGCGGTGTGACTGTGGTGCTGTCGCGGAAGAAGCAGCGAGATGCGTCTGAGTCTAGAGTGAAAGTGTGCAAGCCTCCTCTTTCGTTGCACCTATGCTAGCCGAATCACAAGCACCTAGACTAGCAGCCTCTACACTAGCAGCTCTAGGCACACACAAGTAAGAGTCACCCTCGACACTAGCAGAAGCAGCATACATCGCATACATGCCAGCATGGATCACGTCCTAATCACAAGCAAACACATCGATGTCCTTCTTAAGCAAGGCTAACCAGTCCGGGGTCTTCAGCTGCTCACCATGCTCCGCACGATACTGGTCGTCGAGGCGAAAGAAGCAGCGAGGCTCTGTGTGGTCTGTGCGGCCGCAAGTCGCTCCAGGCTGACCTGTGCGGCGGACGTACGGGCAGCGAGCTGGGCCACCGGAGCTGCCACGCCGGACCGCCCACTCACGAAGCTCCTGGGACGAGAGCGGCACCTGTCGACTCAGCTGCTGCTGCTGACCACCCCCAGAGCCACCGCCACCACCCGCTGCACCACCAGACGCAGCAGTACGAGTGGCCGAACCTCCAGCTCCTCCTCCGCCAGCTCCACCTCGAGTGCCACCCCCACCCCCTCCACCACCCCCACTGCTCCCACCACCCCCTCCTCCTCCACTGCCGCCGCCACCTCCTCCTCCCCCACCACCACCACCCCCGCCACCACCACCGCTACCCCCACCACCCCCACCATCCCCACCACCCCCACCCTTGCCACCCTTGCCCTTGCCGCTGCGGCGCCTCCCACTAGGAGCAGACGCAGCACCGACCTCCTCAGCACAAAGGAAGTCCACAGCAGCAGCAGAGGCAACAAACGGCACAAGCAGGGAGGGGGAGCACCCCTCAAAGATAGAGGGGAGGGGAGTGCCACGGGAGGCAGCGACAGCTAGGGCAGCGGACTCAGCCTCTAAGAGACGGGACTCAAACAAAGCTAGGGTGATCTTCGTGGGGTCTAGAGCGAGAAAGTGGTCGCGAACAGCACGAAGGGAGTCAGGGAGGCGGGTCGTGAGAAAGTAAAGGGTGAGATACATGGGGGGCTTGTTCACAGCCAGAAAGGCGGGCTTGAGAGCGGCTCGGTAGCGGGTGTCAAGGGAGCGCAGGTGAGTCAGGAGGTCAGCTACAGTGGTGAAGTCTGACAGCTCAGGAAAGAGGAACGGCAGCGCCAGATGGCCTACAGTGGCAGAAGACGGGGAGGAGTAGCGCTTGATTACAGCGTCATAAAGTGCCTTGGCCGTCTTAAGCTGGCACAAATGGGTGCGCTGGTCTAGCGGAACGTGACTACGGACAGCAAGAGCGGCAGTAGCGTCACGAGAAGTCCACTGGGACCGGGCTATGCAGTCAGCTGAGGCAGGGGCATCGAGGGATCCCGAGGTATGCTAAAATAGAGAGACATCATCCCTAGTAACGGTCTGCAGGTACCAGTGGAGTTCCTCTAGCCAGGACTCAAAATCTATCGGGTGGCCCTCGACGTCAAAGGTGAGCACATTGGGAGTCGCCATAGCAGCAGTGGCAGCAGCAAGGGCGGCAGTAGCAGCTGGACTGGTGCAGAATGGCACGGGTGTGCGGGGCAAAGGCAGCACTAGTGCAGGGGGGCTGCTCGGCAGGGCGGCTCGGCTGGGCGGCTCGGCAAGGCGGCTCGGCTGGGCGGCTCGACTGGGCGGCTCTGCTGGGCGGCTCGGCTGGGCGGCTCGGCAGGGCGGGTGCAGGCAGCAGCAGCAATTGAGCAGCAGCAGTCGCGCAGCAGTGCAAGCAGGGCAGGGGCGCAAGCAGGGGCGCGGGCAGGGGCGCAAGCAGCAGCAGCTGGCAGCGCGCAGCAGCAGGGGCGCGAGCTGGCGGCGCAGGCAGCGCAGCAGGGCAGGGAGCGGGCGGTGCAGGGCAATCAGGCAAGGCGCACGCAGGCGGCGCAGGGCAGCACAGGCACGCGCGTAATGCAGCGTGCTGGCGGTCGCGGGCGGCACAGGGCAACGCGGGCTGCGTACGGTCAGCGCGGGCAGCGCGCGGGCAGCGTGCGGGCAGCGCGCAGGCAGTGCGCGGGCAGCGCGAGCAGCGTGCGGGGCAGCGGGCGGGCGGGCGCACTGGACAGCGCGACAGCGCGGGGGTTTTGGGCAGGGCAGCGCGTCAGCGCGCTGGGCAGGGCAGGGCAGCAGCGCAATAGCGTGCTGGGCAGGGCAGAAACGTCGGGCAGGGCATGGCAAAAACTAACGCCGGGCAGGACAGAACTAACGGTGGGCCCTAAAAAAAAACCGGTCCTAGGACGGGACCTACTATGAAACCATGTCAAAATAGGATACAGGAAAATGATGGACTAAGGAAGGGAAGGGGTACATATCATGACCTAGAAGTGTTGTACTCACTAATGAGTACCCCAATATAGCCTATAGCATATGTCTAACATTTGACATGTACCATTATTTACCCTCAGCAGTATGTTAGATCCACATATCCATTACTAAATTTGTTGGGTTGTTTGTTTGTTTTTTTTTTTTTTTTTTATGAATAATGGCAAAAGATGTTTCCTCTGGATAGAGCACTCTAAATGGCCATTTTTGATATACAAGGCCCGGAGATATTCGGGAGGTGTAAGGAAAATTTTATTTTCCTTACTTCGCACCCCTGCTTACCGCGTACATGACTGTTCCCGCCAACAGTACCCAGCAGTCCACCATAACCACTCGCGACACTCGCCTCGACCACTATTCCCGCCACTCTTCACGACGCGACCCAACCTCACGGTTCGGTTGGTAACCCGCGCTACGGACCTCCGCCTCTACATTTCCCAACCTCGGCACTAGGCCCGTAGCGCACCCAGTTTCTCGCGTTACCGTTGCCACACTAGCTTCGCTATATAATATTCGCTCATTCCTTCGCTCAATGTACTGTTTTGCTTCGATAGTGCAATTCTCGCTCGCTCGATTGCACTCGTAACACTTGGTATCAGAGCCTACGATCTCTTCTCGGACCACGCACACACCTTCGCTTCCCCATTATCTCAATTTTTTGAAGGGGTTAATGTCAGAATCCCAACCACTAGACCATTGGGATAAAAGGGCTTGTTTGTGTAGCGGGTTTGTGCGCCCATAACCCCCCAGGCGAACGCGCCTGTAACCCCCCCTAGGATCAATCGGGCATCCACAGTGCAGATCTACTAACAGTTAGACGTCCCTCAATGACCCAACACCGCTGCTCATGTGCTCTCTCATAAGCAAATGGCCATAAGGCCGGTTCACATGCAGAGTTATATAAAGGAAAACAAGCAATACAGTGATCACAACCTAGCAAGTGCAAGCATGCAGGTATAGGTATAGAGATCACAGTACAAGCAGAGTCAAGAAGTAAGCAAGTGAGGCACAGTAGGCGCAAGGCCTAGAACAGTACAGAAACGCTGATGATCACAAGGCTGAAGCGCCTTGGTGAAGACATCATCAGTGTTGGCCCGAGTGGCCACGTAAGCAAGACGAAGCTGACCACGCTGCTGCAACTCTCGAGCAAGGAAGTAGCGCAGAGCGATGTGCTTCGTTCTGTGCTCCAGTCGGTGCTCCTGACACAAGGCAATCATGGCCTTGTTGTCGACGTACAGCACTGGAGGAGAACGAGGCGGCTCTCCCAGATCGGTTAGCAGGTAGGTGAGCCAGCGTAACTGCTGTGCAGCCATGGCTGTGGCGTAGATCTCAGTCTCACAAGACGAGCGGGTAGACCGCCAAGAAACAGAGCCGGAGCCAAGGCTGAAGGTGTAACCCTGTGACGACCGCTGCGTAGCCAAGTCGTCAGCCCAAGAAGCGTCTGCGTGACCAGTGAGGACAACTCGAGCCCGTCCTCCAAGCACGAGCCCCATGCCCGACGTACTGCACAAGTAGAGCAACACCCTCTTAGCAGCATCCATGTGCTCCTTCCTGTGACGGCCAGGAGCGACATAGCGTGCTAGGATGCTAAGAGGGTAGGCAAGGTCAGGTCGAGTGCAGGTCATCAGGTACATGAGGCAGCCCACAAGCTCTGGATACGGGCCAATCGGCTGTACGGACTCGTCTGAAGGTAGAGCTGAGAGCGAGTGACCGGTAAGCAGAGGAGTGGACTGTGGCGAGGAGTACGTGAAGCGGAAGCGCTGAAGGACCTGCTGCACCATGTGTGACTGAGTCAGGGTAATGGTGCGCTGTGCTCTGTCCCGGGTGATCCGCAAGCCAAGATAGCTTGTCAGCTCACCCAGGTCTGTGCACGTGTGTCTCTTCTGCAGCTCCGACTTCACGTGGGCGAGTGCCTCAGTGTCAGAAGTAGCAAAGACTACGTACACGAGAACGTAGAACGGCGGCAGAGAGGTGTCGGTGCGTAGAAACAGCGACGGGTCAACAGTAGAAGGAGCAAACCCAAGAGCAGCAAGAGTAGTCCTCAGTGTGTCGTGCCACTCACGGGGTGCCGAGCGGAGACCGTAGACCGGCCGCCGGAGGCTCCACTGGGTACCAGCAGGAAACGACCCAGTGAAGCCAGGTGGGCGGCGCAGCCAGATCTCCTCGTGCAGGCTGCCCTGTAGGAAAGCACTGCTGAAGTCAAGAGAGTGAAGCTCGTAGTCACGCCGAGCGGCGACGTGCAGCAGAACCCGAAGAGTGGTCATCTTCGGGGTAGGGGAGAAGGTCTGGAAGAAGTCAACTCCCTCTCGGCTGATTGAAGCCTCGTGCAACGTAATGCGCCTTGAAGACAGGCGGAGAACCCGGCGGCCGCTTCACCCTGAAAATCCACATGCCACTGACGATGTTCGCCCCAGGCGGGGGAACCTCGTCGACGTAGGTGCCTGTGGACTTCCAGGAAGCCATCTCTGCGTCCATGGATGTGTGCCACTGAGAGGAGTAGGGACCCTCTATCGCCTCTGCGTAAGAGCGCGGGGTCGGGATGTCTGGTGCATCCGGGTCTCCCTCAGGGACAATCAGCATGGACACGAGATGAGATAAAGCAGCGGCAAAGCACTCAAACTCCTCCTGTCTGTCCTCAAGGACGTCCGTGCCAAGAGCACACTCACCCCCGACGGACGGAGGACAGACAGACTCAGACTCAGACTCAGCAAGAAGACTAGCAGCGTAGTCTAGACGACAGGCGGCAGCAAAGTCAACAAGCTCAGCAACTAGAGCAGACGCAGCAGTGGACTCAAACGAAGGGTCAGTGACAACAGTGGCGAGGAAACACGTGACAGTAGGACTAGCAGCACGAAGGGAGTCAGACTCCGGATCCGGACCGTCAGGAAGAGAGGACGCAGGAGGAGACGGCAGAGGGACACGATGTGGGGCAGTGGAAGGATGCAGAGTCATATAGTGAGTGCCAGGGACAGGAGGAGGACGCTGACGCAGAACACGACCAGTGCGGACAGCGCGAACAGGCGACTCAGGACGAGACTCAGGCGACGCAGGACGAGACTCAGGCTCACGACGCTCCGTAAGACCTCTAGTCGGTCCAGAGTAAGGAGAAGGACCAGGCAGTGGAGAGGCGGGCAGTAACTGCGACTGCGACTGGACAGGCTGTGGACTCAGTAAGGGAGGAGGAGGAGGACCAGTAGAAAGCGGTAGGCCAAGAACCTGCTGAAGGAGCTGAACGTAGTACGGCCGCGGCCGCGCAGCGGCTCCAGAAACAGCAGAGACAGCACCAGTACCCTCTGCTCCAGGGTCTCCAGCTCAAACTCCCGCAGCACCACCAGCAGCACCAGCTCCAGCAGCACCAGCTCCAACTCCCGCAGCACCACCAGCAGCACCAGCTCTAGCAGCACCAGCTCCAACTCCCGCAGCACCACCAGAAGCACCAGCTCCAACTCCTGCAGCACCACCAGCCCCAGCAGCTCCAGTACCTCCAGTACGAGCACCTCCGGGACCAGCTGCTCCAGCACCTCCAGCAGCTCCAACACCAGCAGGGCCTCCAGCAGCGGCAGAACCTCCAGCACGAGCACCTCCAGGACCAGCGGCTCCAGCAGCCCCAGCACCAGCAGTACCTCCAGCTGCTCCAGCACCAGCAGCACCTCCTGTGGCTCCAGTAGCACCTGTACCTCCAGTACGAGCACCTCTAGAACCAGCGGCTCCAGCAGCTCCAACACCAGCAGGACCTCCAGCTGCTCCAGTAGCTCCAGCACCAGCAGCACGGCTACAGCGTCGAGCGTACCACTCACGCAGCTGCTGTGGAGAGAGGCGCTCCCGCCGAGACGAGACACCCGAAGGACCTCCAGACACAGCACGCTCAGGCTCAGCACCCCCAGACTCAGCACCCCCAGACTCAGCACCCCCAGGCTCCGCACCCCCAGGCTCCGCACCCTCAGACTCAGCAACCCCAGGCTCAGCACCCCCAGGCTCCG